AATATTTAATGTAAGAGCAAACAGATCTTCCTGTGACAACCAATTATTTGGATGTTAAGTAAGATTTGTTTCGCTGAAAGAATAGAAAAGTTTTTGTCGAATAAGTTTATAGAAACAGATTAATTTGTTGTTAGAGCAAACAATTTATCTGTATCAAATACATTTTACTATTACGCAATTGTTGCTGATAGAATGTCGTCGTAGAATAAGAAAAATTATGAGAACAGAAAGGAAGAAATTGAGTAAATTTATTGCTGGAGCAAAATAATTTACGGATCTAACAAAACTATTTTGCAAATAAGGTTGGTCTTGACAAATCTTTTTGCTGTTTATATAATAACTAACGAAATTTGCTACAGCAACTCACGAAAAATTAATACAAAGTCTTCTAATAAATACTAAAATATACAGTCGATAAATATAGGAAAAGCTTTTGTCATTATCCGATCGGATCTTCGATCGTTTCGCGGAACTTCCAACCGGTCCGGTCGCTAGACCAGCGCAATCTTGTACAACGTGGGCGTTATAATCGCGAAGGATACAAAAGAAATAATATACGAATCGAATAATCGCGAGGGATACGCACTCTAATACAAACGTACGATCGGGCTTTCTCTGCGCCGGCGAGCGTTTCCGCTTCGAGTTAATCCGGTTCGCGTTTTGCGCGAAAACGCTACTCGCGTTTTTGTCAAACGAAGCGACGGATGGGGAAATCCTCCTTGTCGTGCGTACCGGGGAAATATTCAACCACGTTACGTCACGCTTTTTAACACCACGGTATGTCGGGCATTTGGAGCGCGCGATTTTTATTCGTCCAGTAAAGCTCAAATTATAGCTGGTGGAAGTAGTCGATGACGGTCAAAATCGCAGCCCGTCACGCCTGGTTTGATTAATTAATTATTATTCCCCTTCTCCGTCCAACGATCGTCGGGCACGCGCGAATGCACGGGGATGAATCTACTCTAATCATCCTTGAAGAGAACGAGGTTGAGAGACCGAGTGATCCTTGAGCGATGTTTCTCTATCTAGATCGTCCGAGTAAACAGCTCGAGGTGGAACGCCTTTCGAATCAATCGCGGGACGGATCTCCCCGCGGTCTTTCCGCAGGGAGCTGCCGCGTGCAGGACCCGTGAACGGCGACGATAAAATAAACACTGTCGATGTATAAATAACATCGAAATACGACCGGCGAGTCTCCATGCCCGATGGTATAATATGATAACATTCAGAATCGTAATCGTTACTTTCTTTTATCAGTCGACCGTGCGAGGGACTTTGAATAAAAACTTCATTTGAAGCTTAATTCGAACCATAGAGCCCATAATGACAGCCGTCGTCCTGCCATT